TTCTCGACAGAAACGGAGACGCTTTTTCTACATAATTTCATAGATCGATGCTCGAACTGGAGCAACAAGAAATGGAATTTTCGGTGGTTAGCACGGCGCGACCTTGAGCCACAGATCTCGATGACTCGTTACGTGTTCGCGCGACCTGGAGTAGAAGCGATTTCCTCACATGTGTTCCGGGGAACGCGCGTTACTTTGGTTTTAATAATAGCTCGCGCGTATGCGGCACGTACCAGCGTTTCAGTCATTTCAACCAGCGAAATACAACGAGCGATTGTGCTCCCGTGACGAAATCGCGGCAACAACGACTCGTTACACGAGCGAGCGTGTGGCATTCTGTCGCGGAGGCATCTACAAATACGGCATTGAAGCCTAATTTTCTTTGGAAAAACGATAAGACGATGGTGGGACGGGCAGGAGCCACCGTGGAACGAGTTGTTAAGTCATCTCGCGCATTTTTATCTATTACACTTTAGCGTTGGTAATCGCCAATGACTCAGAAGGTTGACGTGCTATATATACGGAATCTATTTAGACAAGCGTTATTTGCATCTGAATACTTTCGACTGAAATTTTCCTTTCAAATCGTCATCGTTTCAAAGATGGTTGCAGGCTTCGCACAAAAGCGATTGTTTGCTCAACGACACTTGACACCGTATCGTAGGGAATTGCACGAGAAATTCTTATTCTTTCTTATTCTTACTTTCACTTTGGAAAGTTAAATTAAGCAAGTACTCGAGTGAGAGGAATTGGAGTTGTCCCACCGATGATTTTAAACAGCTGTGTAACTGATTTCATTGAAGAAAAAAGCCGTGAAATGATAAGAAAGTCGCAACAACATGACAAATAGAAGAGACACAACATTTATGTAAATACAATATTAATGTACACATTCTTCGAGTCCCATTTCTCAGTTAGTAGCGCAAACAGCGTGTTAAACATTCGTATACGTATAAACAAAAAAAAAAAAAAAAAGAAAAAAGAGAGAAATTAATATTGTAATTTTCAGTCTATACAGTCGATTGTGGAGGTTCCTCTCTCTCTCTCTCTCTCT